TACTGATGGAGCCAGGACCAAACTTGGTCCAGTTTTCCTCCTACCATGTCATGTTTCTAGGCCCCCTTTATCGTCTGCTCATTTTAAAGCACGCATATTAGGAATTATGTACATTGTGTGAGGATTTATGAACACTGTGGTTTTGAAATGTGTTACCTGTATCCATAGGTGATGTCTGAAGATGAGGGATTGCTCTATTTTCAGACAAATCCTGTTCTGTCTGGAAACATGGAGAACTTGTCAAGCTGAGTTAATAAGGCCCTTGCAAGGTTGTGTTGTGTTATGTTATAAGAAGTTTCCACTGCTGCCAGGAGCATGAATAACGGTAAAGCTCACAGACTCCGTGGCATGTCTAGGGAGTCAGTGCCAATACAAATTCTTCCTCCACTTTTGGGTTCCTGGGGAAGAGCTTCGAAGATGCCTTATCCATTTCTGGGCTCTAAGAGGAGACAGGACAGCTAGGATAGTTATCCCAACTTGCTCTCCTGTTCTTGGCACTGTTCTAGGCAGTCCTATCTCTGACCTAGTTCCCACATCCTATTCCCTGCCGGCAGATTTTTGGAATGTCAGAATGGCTGTAACTTTCCCTGGAGGACTGGCCATTTGCACTCATTAGATAAAGGACACGCTTCCCCCATTCCGTAGTCTGCGAGCCCTTTACTATTTGCAGGCGGTGGAGACTGACTTTCTCTGATTATATCACTTGGAGTGGCAAGGAGAACGTCGGGCATGGAGGCGTACGAGTTGGGTTTCATTACCCCCGTGCTAGGTGAACTTGGGGGGGGGAGGGGGGAAGTAATGTCTCTGAACCTTAGTGTTTATCTTTTAAGGTTGTGATCAATGCTGAAAACATGAAGGAAATATTGTAGAAACGTTATTAAATGAAAGGAAGACTTTTCTTCTGTATCCGCTGGAGAGTTTTTTTGTGAGAATAGAAAAGGAAGCAGCTAAAAATGACTTGCCTGTATCTTTTCTTTCTCACTTTGTGTTATTCTAGGTCCTCCAAAAACCAAATGCCAAGACGGGATTCAGTGCCTGTTCGAGAAGGTGGGGAGGCCCTGGGTGAGGCCGGGTAGCTCTCACAGTTCAGTGTGGGGCTGTTTCCAGGTGAAGGAGAGAGCAGGGCAGGAGAGAAGGGTGGGAGACAGTCTCTTAGATGGCGGTGTGCTCTGAGGAAGCTGTGGCAAGGCTGTCAGGGAGTCCTGGAGCCAAAGCCAGGTGCGGGGGCCTCCCATGGCTGCCAGGGATGGGCCTGCCCTGGGCGTCCCTGCACACTCCTTAGCTGGGGGCGTCCCCGAAGCAGGTCCCTCAGCACACTGATGGCGGGTTTCAGAATGCCCCAGGCGGGACCCTTGGTCTTACTCCCTATAATTGGAGGTCTTGGGGCACCTTCAACTTTCTCTCTCCAGGAAGTTTTGACAAGCCAGTAATGTGACGCAGAGCCCTCCATCAAGTTAAGCTGCTCTATTGGTGTTGATTTTTAAAATTACCTTGGCGTGAGGAATTCATAGGGAGGAGACGTGAGGGAAGGAAAGGCATAGAGACAGGTTAGTAAGCTCTAGTTCAGAGGCCTCCTGAAGGCTTAACAATGCTGAGTGTCCCTGGCAGGTGCAGAGGGACATGATTACACACGTACAGGGTGGGAGTCTGGCAGAAGGCTGGAAGTACCCCTTTGGTACTCCCCGTCCACTCCCATTCCTTTCTGTCTGCGGAGCCAGCGAGGGGTTCGGTCTCCATCTCCCCGGGCCTCGCTGCTGGGCCTCACTGTCACCACGCGGACTCTCCGTGGTGCTGGGGAGGCCCCGCCTGAGCCTGGACCTCAGGCTGAAGGAGGCCGAGGACCAGCTCGTTCTGTCCTGCTGGTCGTCCTGTTAGCAGTCAACATGGCTGTGAGGTGCCCTCTGCCTCAGAGAGGGGCTGACAGCTTCGTGTGTGCACCCCTCTCCTTCCCTCCTCTTCCCCTTGCTTCTCCAGGGCACTCCCATCTGGACTTGAAATGTCTTCATTGTCGGGTCTGTCTCGGAGACTATAGCCCATTCAGGACAGTGGTAGCAACACTAAAAATTTCCTCATGCAGCTTCCAAGACTCCCGAGATCTTTATTTCTAAGCATTTAAACAGGAAATGGTTTCAGGTAGAAGCGGGAGCTGTGTGAGCTTCTGGAACCAGAAACTAAGTCTGGCTGTACATAGTCTTCATTAATAACGTCGCTGTCCCATGGCTGAAGCCAACTTTGATGCCTAACTGCATGGCTGCGGTAGGTCATTCGTTTCTCTTCCTGTTTTCCTTCTCTTATTAAGAACATTTTTTTCCCTAAAATTTTTCCCTTCAAAGAATATTTATTTCTGTGTAGAAAAGTGAGAAGGGGGTGATTCGTGTGTGTGGTCTTTGTTTTTGTTTTTTCCTCTGGAACATTTGAAAAAGAGGAGGTCTGTGAAATGGTTTCAGAGCAAGAGAGAAGACATTGTTCCTTAGGTCCACCGGGCTTCCCTCTGAGGGATGCGGTTGATGGTCCCGCACTGATGCTCAGAGAATGGTCACTGGTTTATAAATCAGAACTTAGCTCTCATCTTGACCAGGCTGTAAACTAGGGGACACCATGCTGCGGTCTCTGCACGGCTCAGGGTCTTATTTGAAAGATGGTGGCCTGGAAGGGATATTGAAGTGTACACTTTGCCCCAGGTCCTTTGACTTATCTTGGTAATTTTCTGATCCCTTCATCAATTTAATGGACATGTGCAATGATTCCTGCAAAATCTATGAAGGGATTGGACCAGATTTTAATGCAATTTTCAGAAAAGAAAAGTAAGTAGGTGGAAAGTTGTTTATTTTTTGGTCAAGATATCCTCTAGGGGTGCCGGGTATCCCTTCTAAAAGTATTTTCTGAAATGTTGAGGTTTCGATCAAAAAGCACTTCTCTACCAGAAATGGGGAAAATCTCAAATGCGTAAAAAGAGAGTCAAGAGATGGCACTACTGAGATGACAGTTGTTGGAATTATCTGACAAGGATGTTAGGGCGCCGTCACAAAGATCCTTCCATGAGCTGTTACACTCTTGACACAGAAGTAGAAAGACTCAGTAGAAAGAGAAGAAAGAAGACCCAAATGGAAATAATAGCACTAAAACCTACAACTGCTGAAATACAGTCCAGGTGGATGGGCTCACCATCGAGCAGAGATGCTTTCTCTCCACATGCTGCTAACTGAACTGAATTAAGACCGGGCAGGAATACGTGCCCATAAATAGAAATGTGATTTAATAATAATATTTAATTATTTAGTATTTATATTACAAGTTGCCCCAAATCAAGCCATGTTTGAAATCTGTTTTGCTGTTCGAAGGACTCCCAGGGTGAACATTTATACTGCATGTTTAACACAGGCATCCAAATGATGAGTCACTTTGCCTTGGAAAAATCTCGGTGTGTGCAGTGGAAGCCCCATGTATGCCAGTAGGCGCGTATAGGGCTGCTGGAAATATGATCCACTAGTCCTTGCTGGGCTAAGAGTATCAGCCCTGGAATGCAGAAATGGACGTGTCTCTGCCAATCTGACCACCTATGAATCAGTAAAGGATTCAGGCCAGAGGACCAGGTTTCGAGGGGGACACTGGCAAATGGCGTGGGTACAGACAAGGTCAGCTAGGGTTGCGAGAAGTCTAGAAGCCTGGTCTGGTGAGGACTCTGCTAAGCCGGGGATGATTTAGTACGAAGAAGAGGGCCTGGCCTGGCTGTATGTCTACATCTGGAGGGGTCTCGTTGAGAAAAAGACGCAGGCTCCTTGTTTCAGTGTTTGCGCTGAATGGGCCATTTGTACATGAAAATCTCGCACAGCCGAGCGTGGCCATTCCAGGAAGGCAATTTTTGAAAAACTAGTTCTTGAAGCAGAGTTTTCTTGTCTGAGACAGCGTCAGTGTTGAATGCTTGTAAGCCCGTCGACAGGCCACCTCTGTGGGCTGGATTGGGATTGACTCAGACTTTGGGGAGGAAGGGGCCCGCGCAGGCAGTGCTGTCTGCTGGGCGCGTGTGGGGTTGTGTGTGAGCAAAGCTGCTGGACACATGCTGCTTCATGTCTCAGAAGGGCCTGAACAGGGTCTCCCCTGGGCCCTGGTGGAGGCCTGTCTTCCCACCCCGGTGCTTGGAGGGCCACCACCCTGGGTGCAGAGAGGACTCACGAAACAGCCATGGAGTCCACAAAGGCGTTCTTGCCTTCACTCTGCTTGACCCTCTTTCACGGAGGGAGGAGTGTGTTCTTCCCCGGTTGTCCTGGACAGCCCTACCTCTGTGGCCAAGGCCAGTGCAGGTGCGGCAGAGGTCCCTGTCCCTGCACCTGGTGGTGGGGGGGCGGGCCTGGGAGGATGTGGCGGCTGCTGTCCTGGTGCTTCTTCAACGCCCGGGGGTGCTTCTCACCTCATCAAGCACCTGGGGTCTCTAGGACACCCCGAACCCTCTGTCCTTGTCCTCACGCGCAGCTGCCCTGGGATCTCCTTGGCACTCACAGTTAGGTTCACGGGCATCAGGACTGTCCTCTTGGGTAGCTACAATGTACTAGTAACCTCACCAGGCGGGGGTACCACCTGCTCCCCTCTAAGGAAGGGGGATGGGAGCTGGCTTTCCCACAGCTCTGCCTCCTTCTCCCGTGTGTTCCTCCTCCTGCTTCCACTCCTCTGGAGTGACGTGTAGTCTCTTTTTCTCCCCTTGGTGTTCTCTCCGTGAAATTTTGCTTTGGAGTCCACTTGTGGTCCTCGGAGGGATGGCAGCCTTGGCTCCCACCTGCCCTCTGTGTCCCGGAGGGAGACTCTCCTTAAAGTGCTCGAGGAAGCTGCCCAGACTAGACAGGACATCTCCCACTTGTCCTTTGGAACCCTTAGCCCCAGGCCTCTCAGAAGTCAGGCCAGGAACAGATGCATGTGTTTGCATAACGATTAGTAGCTTACGTGTGCCCTGGTTCTGTAGCGAAGGACAAGCCTAACTTATTCATTTACAGCTTCTTTTATTGCAGAAAAAGGAGTGGACGTGGGATGAGAGCAAGATGCTGGTGATGCAGGACCCCATCTACAGGTAAGAGCCCCGTCCCCCGCCTGCTGGCCCCTGGAACTGTCGGGCTGGTGGGGCCAGATAAATTCAACTAAATTTCTGCTGCTCTTCCCTTCTGGACCTGCCGTTTCTATACATGTAAGTAAGTACAAGAAGCACATCCACGTTTTCTTTCAGGCTGAGAGGGAAATGCTTCTTAGGCTCGATTACACTATCTAGAAATGAAGGAGGATTTCTGCTTGGTGTTTAGTCCTCATCTTTTGGTGGTCATTTGAGACTTTTCCAGCTCGTGTTAGTTTTATCTTGACTGGAATTTTATAATTGCCTATCTGTTCACCCCTGCGCCTTCAGAAACCGAGCGCAGATAAAGGGTTTGTGATCCGGGAACGCAGAAAGTCACACATATAATCCCTAGAAATTGCCTTCAGGAGACCGGTAGGATTCCTCAGAGATTAGATGTGTGCTCCCTGGGCAGAGGAATATCTGGGGGTCACACTCCTGAGCGCCAGGGCCCCCCTCGCACCCACCGCGGGACCTCGATTCACCTGTGTCCCTCTGGTGTCCTGGACTCTGCTGAGCGAGCCCCACCCAGTGCACCCCTACCTCCTTCCTGTTTTCTTCACCGGCAGAATGGGTATCAGCTCTTCCTTTGGGATTTGGGGGAACCCAGAGTCAAATGACTTGCTTCGGTGGGCAAAACGGATAAAGGCTGGGACTCCATTGCCGAGTGGGCAACATGGTGGCCCTGCCTTCTAGTTAGAGCGGTTGCCTGGGAAAGGGAATTTCCATTCACTCAAGGAATTATATGAACGCGAACACCGTGGGCCGGGTGTTGTGCGGGTGACTCAGTGGGTGACTCGAGTGAATCAGTCATGGTCCCTTACTCTTGGGGGGTGTTAGTCTGGAGGGAAGCCCATCACTGAGACGCAAGACCATGTGTCTGACAACGTGAATTTCTTTCTCTGGGTTCCTGTTGTACTTTCATATGTTTGTGGAAACGAGTGTTACCGTGTGTTACTGTCACTTCAAGTCTTTTGCTGGTAGACTATGAGGCTGTTGCAGGTGGAGAACTGTGCCCGACTCACTCCGTATTCCTAGCCCCGAGCCAGTGTCGGGCCCAGATGCATCATTTAATAAACGTGCGATGGGCGGTTGGAGAAATGCACTCAACTAATATCTGAAAATTAACTTAAGTGTTACAGAGATTCACAGGAGGGATGATCACTTTCTACTTGAGTGATAAGGAAAGGCTTCGGGGAGACAGATCGCATCAGAACTGGGCTTGCGGGATGTGAATGGACGAGCCCCTGTCATTCTCCTTTTGTAAAAGGAAGAATTTCTGGGTGTGTTGTTGTTTTGTGTTGTTTTGTTTTCCCACAGTGGCACCGTGCGCATACAAAGCCAGCTCACTGTGAATGCCGCTCGTGGACTTGAATCAACCTTTTCTGGGTTGAAAGAAAAGACTTTCCCCAGAGTTTCAACAACATAATCCATACAGGATATCAATTTTAGGTCTTATAACAGCTTTATTTTGATGTGTAATTGACCTACAAAAACAGAGCATATTTAACGTGATTAATTTGGTGACTTTTGACCTGCGTTCACTTCTAAAGCCATGACCTCAGTCATGATGGTGAGTCTCTGTCACCCCCACAAGTTTCCTCGTGTGCCCACTTGTAATCTTTTCCTCCCACCCTTTCCACTTTCCTGTCCCATCTCCCTCCCTCCTGCCTCCACATGCCCAGGCAACTACTCTTCTCCTTTCTATTGTTCCAGACGAGTTTGTGTTTTCTTAAAATTTTGTATAGAGTCGTACAGTGTGTCCTTTTTCTGGGCCTGGCTTCTATCATTAAGCATGATTATTGTAAAGACCATTACTTGTCATCGTTCGTATCAGTAGCTTGTCCGTTTTTATTCCTAAATAGTGTTCCATTGCACGAGTATAACTCGATGTGCTCAGCCATTCGTGTGTTGGGGACATTTTAGTGTTTCCAATTTGGGGCTGTCACAACAAAAGCTTATATGACTCTTCAATACAGATGCGTATACGGACATACACTTTCATTTTTCTTAGGTGAATACACAGGAGTAGAATGATTACATGGTAGGGTTTTTTTTTTTTTTTTAGTTTTTTTTCTTGGTTTTTTGTTTTTGTTTTAAAAGATTTAATTTATTTGAGATTTATTTGAGATTGAGAGAGAGCACAAGCAGGGGGAGCGGCAGGCAGAGGGAGAGGGAAAGCAGGCTCCCTGCGGGGCAAAGAGCCAAACGCAGGGTTCGATCCCAGGACCCCACGACCATGACCTGAGCCGAAGGCAGACGCTTAACTGACTGAGCCAGCAACGTGCCCCTATTTTTTTTTTTTTTTAAATGAAACTGCCAAACTTTTCCAAAGTGGTAGAACTTCTAGTGGAGTTTGAGACCTCCAGTTCCTTCATATCTTTGCCAGCATCTGGTATTGTTTGTTTTGTTTTGTTTTTAGCCCTTCAAATACATGCATATTAAGATCTCACTGGGGGTTTATTTTGCATTTCCTAATGACTGATGACCTTGGGCATCTTTTCATCTTCCATGCCATTCGTGTATCTTCTGTGAAGCATCTGTTCAAATCTTAATCCATTTTTGATTGGGTTGTTTTGTTTTCTTACTGAATTTTGAGAGTTCTTTATAAATTGTGAATTCATATCCTTTATCAGGTGTGTGGTTTGCAAATATTTTCTCCAGGTCTGGCTGGGCTTCCCTCTCTCTTTTTAAAGATTTTATTTATTAATTAGAGAAAGAAAGCATGTGAGAGAGAGAGAGAGCACAAGCAGGCGGAGCCTGAGAGAGAAGAGAAACAGACTCCATGCTGAGCAGGGAGCCCGAAGCAGGACTCGATCCCAAGATGCTGGGATCCTGACCTGAGCGGAAGCAGACGCTTTACCGACTGAACCACCCAGATGCCCCTCAGTTTGTTTCTTTAATCTGCTACGAGGGATCTATCAAAGCTTTCGTTCTTCCTCCTGCAAACAGGCATCCAGTGGTTCCAGACTCATTTGTTGAGAGATTGTCCCCCACCTGCTGAAGGAGCTCTGGTGAAAATCTGCCCTCCCTTCGAACTCTTTGCTCTGGTCCAGTTGCTGATTTTGATGTCAGAATCCAGTGTCATGTTTGCTGCAGCTTAATAAACATCTCAGGTTCAGTAGTCTGTCTTCTGGCTGTTCTTCTTTTTCACAGATTTTTTTCAATGAGCACCAGTAAGATGTAGCTTTTGCCTTCCCTTTACTTTTAAGAAGAAACATGCTTTTTGGTGTGGGGTGAAAAACGTCAAAGAAATCTTAAACTTTAAGTGTAAGTGTCCTAAGCACATTTTCATGCTGTTGGACAGAACAGAACTCGGCCTGAAAAGTGAAGGCTTCGTGTTTAATTTCTCCTTATTTCAGATTTCACTTCCTTGGTTAACGTGCTTACTTTACCCTTTCTGGTTTAATGGGCATACTTCCCCCCCTCCCAAAGTTAAAAAAACAGCACTGGAGTGGTCGTACCATTATAGAAGTCCCTGTGCCTTTGAAATGCAGTTCCCCTGCCTTGGTGTCTTCTCAGTCTTACTGGGCACTGGAAGAATAATCAGTCCCCCGAAGATTTCTGATCTAGGGGCCAGACATGTAAATGAAAATCCTTTTTAACCAAAGGCAGTAAATTAATTGACCTGAAGCCTTCAGGGGCCAGGCTGGTAGTAGTTCTCTGGTTTTGAGTGTAAATGAGCAAACCAGGGAGGGTCCCCATAGGCTGTCCAGCCAGTCCTCAGAAATGTCATTAATTAACAGGCAAGTAGTTGGTGAGATCAGACATGAGAAGAAGTGTGGTCTGGTTTGGGGACCTTGTCTTTGAGACACGCTTTGATTTTGAGCAAGTCCAAGATCAATTATTCAGGCCTAGCTGGGGAAGGGAGGCAAGGATGCGTGGAGAGCTCTGTGTGTGGTGTTCGCTGTGCTAGGCACCGAGGAGAACAGTGGTTAATCAGTCTGGGTCTCACCAGAAGCCAAAACTCACACCGTGATTTAAACAGAAGAGTTATAAACAATTATTCAGATGTAACAAAACAGTATCTTTAAAATGTAAAGAGTACTCTGGGGGTGCATGGCTGGCTCAGTTGGTTAAGCATCTTGACTCTTGATTTCAACTCAGGTCATGATCTCAGGGTGGTGAGATGGAGCCCCACGTCGGCCTCTGTGCTCAGTGGGGAATCATCTGCTTGAAGGTTCTCTCTCACTGCACCTACTCTCTCTCTCTCTCTCTCTAAGTACATAAATCTTAAAAAATAAAAATATGGGAAGTTAAGTGCCAAATCTTAGAACGTATCCCCTCATACTTTATTTTTGGGAAAGTGGGGTAGAAAAAACCCCTGAGGCAGCATTTCTAGAGGCTTGCAAATACGTGAAAAGAGGCAGCCACCCTAAAAGAGAGCGAAGGCTGAAGGCAGGCTGTCATTTGGGAAGTGGACTATACAGCGAGTCCTCCAGGAGCTTCGTCAGGGGAGGGGGAAGAGTCCGCTGGTCTCTCGGTAGGGAAAGAAGGGAGAACCACGGTGCCACAAACTGGAAATGGGCAGTGGAAACCAAGCAACTGTACGTTTTTAAAAGCGATAATCCCCCTTTGAAGGCAGAAGGACAAGATCCCATGGGGCTTAAAATAGAAGGTTGTAAAAATGTGTATAATTTCTAAGCATTATTTTCCTAATGGAACCAGATACTACCCTAACCTGTAATACACAGGCGGTATCCCGTAATTAGGAGGGGAGATAGACTATGTAGTAACTACTCACCACTGTCATTTTGGGGAGCCACAAAATCTCTCGGGATTCTTCAAGGTCTCCAGTATCCAGGCTGTCCCTGCAAAACCAGATCAAGACGTCCCCAACAGAGACAATCCTGCTTTCTAAGTTCCTGCCCTTCAAACCTCCGCATGCCCAAGTGCCCCCTCCAGCCCCGGCACACATTCCCGTGGCTCCCTTGTCACGGGAACGTGGCAGGGCCCCAGGTACT